TGATACATGGAAATAGACCTATTCCATAATACTGTTAAGTGAAGTAAGGCACAGAACAGTAGGCATGTACTATTTATGCTTAAATACATAAACCCTTATGTATACAAATATACATACAGATGTACACACATATATACATCCCTGTATACACTTTAAATATTTTTGGAATATATCAAAAGAAAATCCTAACAGTGATCTTCTCTGAGAAGACAACTAGGGACCACAGGAGGGACACTGAGACAGTATATCCTCTTGTACATTTGGGAGCTTCCCATGTTCATATATTATTTTTTAAAACAGTTAACACAAAATAAGCAAAAATTAATTTAGAACCATCTGGTGAATGAAGTGGTTAATCAAACTGAGGAATGCTATCTCTAGATAAAATATGTCTCTGAATATACATTGTGGGCTAAACATTATCAAGATCATCTGATCTAAGATAGCTACTTTCTCATTACAGAAATCCCTCACATCATAATCTCCAGGATGAAATCTGATCACTCTAAAGTTTCAGCGAGGGGTGTCTTGGAGGCTCAATCGGTTAAGTGGCCAACTCTTTGATTTCAGCTCAGGTCATGATCTTGGGGTTGTGAGATCAAGCCCCCAGGTTGGGCTGGTGCTGACATGAAGCCTGCGTAAGATTACCTCTCTGTCTCTCCCTCCACCCCTCCTCCCACTCACGGGCACAAAGTCTCTCTCTCTCAAAAAAATTAAACTTTCCAGTGATTTTATCCTAAGAATTTTCTTTGACATCAAGTAACCTCTTTTTGATAATAGTTTAGTAAAAGATAATGTAATTTGCAATCATAATGGGGTTTTCACCACAAAACATAAGCACCACATCGGCAAGGACTTTGTCTTGCTCACTACTGTGTCTACTGCAATTAAATATTTATTGAATGAATGAATCCTTGGCTATTACTGTCTTCACAAATAAAGGAGAAATTATTTTGTCTATCTTGCTTTAAAATTATAAATTGTTCTACTTGATAACATGGCATAATCTTTCAAAATACTCCTTTGTATATTCTTCAGCATGATTTTGTTTCTTGCTTAATTTAGCTCAGGTAATTTTACATCCTCACAGTTAAACGTCTACTTGAACGTACTAAATCTTAACAGTAACATTTGAAGACATCGGTTATATCACAGATTCAATATCATGAAATAAAATGATTTTTTTACTTCAACTAAAAAGAGCCTGTTTTATTTATTTATTTAAAAGATTTTATTTATTTATTTGACACAGAAACAGAGTGAGAGGGAACACAAGCAGGGGGAGTGGGAGAGGGAGAAGCAGACTCCCCGCAGAGCAGGGAGAACAATGCGGGGCTTGATCCCACATGACCTGAGCCAAACGACTGAGCCACCCAGGCGCCCCTAAAATAGCCTGTTTTAATCACAACAGCTGCTAGCACAAGACTATCTAGATCAGTGGTCTCCAAAGTAGGCAGTGATTATGACCATACACTGAGGTAGGAGAAGAAAATCTTATATTTACACACATTTTCAATTTACTCTTTAATTTACATATTTGAATATTTTATTAATATTAATAGATAACATAATGAAGCACATATCACATACCAGGCACTATTCTAAGCAAATGTATTAACTCACCTAACCCTCACAATAATCCAGGTAAGGTAGATAAAATTACGCTTCATTTTACAAGTGGAGGCACTGAAGCATGAGAGTTAGAGGTTTCTTTTTTGTTTGTGTTTCAGCGGCTGGCCCAATTCACCTTGATAAAGGCAGCATTTAAATTCCAACATCAGTTTCCACCTTCTTAACAGCTAAACTATATTGTATATAATACACTAGTTGAATAGTATATGCATACAATTCAAAAATAAGTATTCATTAGAGATTCAAGCTCAATGTGTTTTATTTGTTTTATGTTTTCTTTTGATTTTTTAATTTTCGGGGCTACATAATCAAAAGGATATGGAGATCAGTGATATAGGAAACCCTGAAAGTCTTCCTATGTTTAGGAACATCCTTGCTATAATGATTCCTCCAATTCTTGAAGAACTATAAAGGTAATCTTTTAAGTCATATTTAGACCTATAAATGAGGCAACTATCTGGAAAGTATGTGTAGTATTTCTTGTCCTCACTTTGGACATTATATATATTCCTGGAAAGATGTTTGAAATAAAAAAAAAAAAAATTTGAAAAACAGTGTGCAGGTTCCTCAAAAAGTTAAAAAAAAACTACCTTATGATCCAGCAATTGTACTACTGGATATTTATTTACCCAACGAATACAAAAACACTAATTCAAAGGTATACATGCATCCCTATGTTTATAGCAGCATTATTTATAATAGTCAAGATAGGGAAACAGTCCAAGTATCCATGAGTTGACGAATGGAAAAAGATGTGGTATATATCACAATGGAATAGTATTCAGCCATAAAAAGAATGAAATCTTGCCATTTGCAACAACATGATGGAGCTAGAAAATATGCTAAGTGAAATATATGTCAAACAGAGAAAGACAAATACCATATGATTTCACTTATATGTGGAATTTAAGAAACAGAACGAGCAAAGAAAAAAATGAAAGTGTGTGTGTCAAAGTAAGAAACAGACTTTTAATTGTAGAGAACAATCTGAGAGTTACCAGAAGGAAGGGAGGTGGGGAGATGGGTTGAATAGTTGATGGGGATTAAGGAGTGCACTTGTGATGAGCACCAGGTGATGTATAGAACTGCTAAATTATTATATTTTATACCTAAAATTACTAATACTGCACATTAACTGGAATTAAAATAAAAACTTAAAAATAAAATGAAAAAGCAATTCAATCAAACTTCTCAAAAAAATTGATCCCAAGATGAAATCACATTTGAGTATATTGATATTGATATTAAGGAACACAGTATTCAAGAAAGAAGTGTGGGCAAGGATGTGGAGAAAAAGGACCCCTCACACACAGCTGGTGCGAATGCAAACTGAGGCAACCACTGTGTAAAAATATGGAGGTTGCTCAAAAAATTAAAAATAGAATACCATATGATTCAGTAATTTCACTACTGGGTATTTACCCAAAGAATAAGAAAACACTAATTTGAAAAGATATATATACCCCCCGTTTATAGCAGCATTATTTACAATAGCCAAATTCTGGAAGAAGCCCAAGTGTCCACTGATAAATGGATAGATCAAGAAAACGTGGTATATATATACAATGTAATATTGCCCAGCCATAAAAAAAAGAACGAAATCTTGCCATTTGCAACAACATGTGGATGAAGGTAAGGGTATAACAGTATGTGAAATAAGTCAAAGAAAAACAAATACCACATGATTTCACTCACATGTGTAATTTAAGAGACAAAACAAACAAAGGGAAAGAAAAAGAGAGAGACAAACCAAAAAACAAACTATAGAAGACCAAATGACGGTTACCAGAGGAGAGGTGGGTGAGGGAATGGGTGAAATCAGTGAAGGGTATTAAGTGTACACTTATCTTGATGAACACTGAATAATATATATAACTGTTGAATCACTACTTTGTATACCTGAAATATAATACTATGTTAATTATACTGGAATTTAAACTTTAAAATAAAATATGGAAAAATAAAGTTAACAGTACAAGAGTTAGGTAACATTGTAAAAAAAAAAATAGTACTCCTGTGAATATACATATCTAATGCTCTTTAACAAACAATTCAAGCCTGCTAAATGCACCTAAATACTCTTTACATAATGATAGTCTAAGCATAAAAATTCATTTCACTGAGAAATCAAGAGCTTCAGATGATAGTTAAAAAGGCTTAAAAAGTTAAGAAGAAGCATAGACCTAAGCAACACAGCCAGCTTATTTTTCAGGAAGCCCAAAACTAATTTGATAAAGGGTTTATAATAGCAATTTCAAAGTCCTCAGTTCAAAATATTCTTTTCAGGGACACCTGGCCCAGTGCCTGAGTCAGCTAAGAATCTGATTCTTGATTTCAGCTCAGGTCATGATCTCAGGGTCGTGGGACTGAGCCCCAAGTCAGGCTCCACGCTCAGGGGGCAGTCAGATTCTCTCCCTCTCCCTCTGCCCCTCCCCTCCTCATGTGCATGTTCTCGCTCTAAAATAAATCTTAAAAAAAAATTCTTTTCAAAAACATTTACTTGTCTCTATGATTTACCAAAAAATCAATTTTCTTTTTTTTTTTTTAAGATTTTATTTATTTATTTGAGAGAAATAGAGAGATAGTGAGAGAAAGCACTGGGCGGGGGAGAGGGAGAAGCAGACTCCCCACTGAGCAGGGAGCCCAATGCGGGACTCAATCCCAAGACCCTGGAACCATGACCTGAACTGAAGGCAGACGCTTAACTGACTGAGCCACCCAGGCACCCCCAAAAAATCAATTTTCACCTAAAATTAGGAATGAAAATAGAATCAGTGGCTAGTCTGGGCGGATGAAATTATTGTGAAAGTAAAATTATAATACATGTGAAAACAATATATACCCCTAAGACATTAGTAATAAGAATGATGATGAACTCAAGGGGGTAAAAAAAAGCCTTAGCAAATAAATCACATTGGATGAAATGCTAGGCCTATGCTATTTAAGATAATATCACCAAAACTACATTTTAGAATATGCTATAAGTCTGCCTTATCAGACCTTTAAATCTTGCCAATAGAATCCAAAAATGTCACCAGAGCTAATACATAAGCAGTATGAAGTCAGTAATGCTAGTCAGGTTTGAGAGTTGTAAGAGAGAATGAATAAAAATGGAATAAGACGTTGAACGGGAATAAATAAAACTTAAGCAGACTGATGTCCAGCTTTTTATAAATTATACTGACTCAAGAAATACCATATAGTACAGAAAGAATTTCCCGTAAGCATAAACTAGATACTTGGTAATATATTTATCTATTACCTAATACTTAGCAACTGACTAAAGACTAAGATTTAAAACAAAAAAATATTTGTTGTTAATAAGTTGCTACATTTTCCCCCAAAAAAGTATCAGTTAATTTGTCTACCTTTGGTCCTGAAATTGGGTGGATGGTATTTTTGGTAGATATAGGATGAGGAAAGGTATTCTGGAATGCAAATGCAGAGGAGACAGGATAACCAATCCCACAAGTTGGGTAAGTCAGTCTACCATCAACCTAAAAATGAAAACATAAAAAGGTTAAAGATGAGATATTAATTCTAAATAGTATTTACTGATCCATGAGGCACTAGCATCTGTTATAATACTTAAAAGCACTACCTTAGAGGCCAATTTTATCATGACACCACAAAACTCTGCTTTATTATAATAGCATGAGCCTAGGATAACTTTAAGCTTTCTAAAGAGTGGATGTGCAAGCTTAACAAAATAAGCCACTGGACTTGTCTTTGAACTGAGTTTAAACAATGACCTCTTTGAACCATCTTGGTTCCCTATACGTATGTCTTCCATTCCTGAAAAGGGGGCTCGGGGAGGATGGAGTCATAGATCAATAAACCAATCAGATATAAAAATAATTTTCTGCCAGAATGAAAACAAGATATATATTTTTTTGTTTCATTTTTTTTTAAGATTTTATTTATTTAGGGGCACCTGGGTGGCTCAGTCATTAAGCGTCTGCCTTCAACCCTGGTCATGATCCCAGGGTCCTGGGATCAAGCAACGCGTCAGGCTCCCTGCTCGGTGGGAGGCTTGCTTTTCCCTCTCCCACTCCCCCTGCTTGTGTTCCCTCTCTTGCTGCATCTGTCAAATAAATAAATCTTAAAAAAAAAAAAAAGATTTTATTTATTTATTTGACAGAGAGAGAGACAGTGAGAGCAGGAACACAAGTAGGGAGAGGGGGAGAAGGAGAAGCAGGCTTCCCACTGAGCAGGGATCCTGACGGGGGGCTTGATACCAGGACCCTGGGATCATGACCCAAGCCAAAGGAGATGCTTAACGACTGAGCCCAGGCACCCCAAGATACGTGTTCTTAAATGAACTAATTCATACAATTTGCTTTGCCACTAATTTTCAATATGGTGGCACCACCACTAACAAATGTCATGAAAAGAGTTTATGAGAGAACAACTGAAACACAAACCTTAAGAAGCAATTGTATATATCACTGGCTGCATGACAAAAAACACCTTCTACATAGCTATTTATCCTAAGTCATGAAGGTTAAGCCTGTCATATTTTTTCAAGTTTATAATTCAGTACTGGGCATTTCTTTCCACACCTTTTTGCAATTTAGCAAAAATCTATTCCTTTTTTTAAACATCAAGTACAATCTGAATTAGTAGGATAGATTTAAAATTCAATTAGCTATTTGCATTTTAAATCTTCTGCCAATGCTCTTCAATCAAAGACTACCAGAAACATACCTATAGGTGTACACTGTGGGTTTATTGTTTCTTGCAAACAATGCAGACTGCATACTGTGGGAAACCTGGTAAGAGGGGTGGGACAGTATGCAGGTGTTAAAAGGGACTTATTTACTGGACATATATGTGTTAGGTGGTTTAAGAGACAGTTTAATAAAGTGTGGCTTTGTTGTGGGTCAGATGCTATCTGGAAATGGGGATAATTGTATGACTGAGTATCTGAAATAAATCTTATTAGGTAAGTTGGGAGGAATGTATTAAGGCCAAAACTGTAATTGGTAAAGAAGGAGCAGTCAATCATGTTAGCCAGGATAGGAGGATGCTTGCCTGTTTTGTGGTTTGGCAATGTTCATTTTTTCAAAATTGTGTTCAGAAATGATTATGAGGTGGTCTTATTTTTTTCTTGATCTGTCACAGTCACAGGCCTTGCCTGATGTTGATATTCGGTGAAATTACGTATGTTCAACAGTAGAGCCCCAAAGCCTAGCTTTGAGTACCTAGCTCTCCTCGCAACACCAGGGCCTTGCTGATAGTACCAAGCCAGCTCCCATATGTAAGGAGCTGCTCTTCATTTTCTCCTAATTTCTTGCGAGGAGAAAGCAAAAGCCCTGGTCCTAGGAGCTAGAGAGCTTAGATATCATAACTAATTCCTTCTAGAATCTAGAGCTGACTGATAAAAGGACATTTCTCTTTTTTTTTTTTCTTTCTCAAATAGAATTCAGTTTAGGCTCCTATCATAGTTCCAAACTTGAGCCCAAACTTTGTTCTCCCTTCTTAAGGCTCCCAGAATACTCCCTTCTTCAGCACATTTGGCATTACTTTAGTTATTACTGAATGATTTCTATATCCAATTAAATTTTTTTCATATTTTTATTTCAAATTTTTATTTAAATTCTATTAGTTAACATATATACCCAATTAAATTTTAAGAAGCAGTGTGCCTTTGAAATACAGCCTCTTTGTTAGGAGCAAGTATATCCGTACGTCTCACTTCTAAGTGGGACTTAACCTTTACCTCACTCAAGACATATTAGGACCAGCACCTGAAGTCATGGAGACTTCCTCATAGTCTGGGAATATTTTGGTTTTAGGTAATTTACTCAGACCACTCACATCTTAATTTAAAACTTACCACATTAGAGTTAGGAGAAATCCCACTTCTGATTGTGTTGCTGCTAGAATGTACAGGTGGAGTGGTAGAAGGTCCCGATACATCTTGCTTTCTCACTAGCTGATTTTCATTTAGTTCTTTATTTAGCCATGTGATTACTTAAATAAAACAAAACAAGGTAAAGAATTTTGACTATTTTTATTTTTCTAATAACTTTAAACATTTAAAAATTATATTGGCATTTAAAAAATTTTAAGTCTTTAAAACTACCTTATATCACAGGAGAATATAGGTTCACCTAAATTTTTGTCATTAAAGATTCTTATTTTAACAACCGCCATAGAACTCCTTATGCTATTACTATCAGAAACATATATTTCTCGGGCACCTGGGTGGCTCAGTCGGTTAAGCGTCTGCCTTCAGCTCAGGTCATGATCCCGGGATTCTGGGATCGAGCCCCACATTGGGCCCCCTGCTCTGCGGGAAACCTGCTTCTCCCTCTCCCACTCCCCCTGCTTGTGTTCCCTCTCTAGCAGTCTTTCTCTCTGTCAAATAAATAAATAAAATCTTTCAAAACAAAACAAAACATATATTTCTGCTAGTCAAGCATCTCTTTGAAGGCTTTCATTTCTAGAATGACATCTTACAGTTTATTTGAAGTTCACACTCTTATCTGATAACCAATACAAAAACTGATAAAATGTTAAAGGCTTAATCTTATATTTTAGTTTCAAATAATTCATGTTATTACTATTAGATAAATACAGAAATTAAAATAAGTAGTGAATAACTTTAATCAGCAAAGAATTTAAACTATTGTCAATATTTTCAACACTTAATTTTGGGTTACTGACACATGTAATATGGTTTTCTTTATAATGATAACTGTTTTACAGGGCAGCTGATATACAAGTTACTATAGCAAAGACACGAAGACCATATATTTAAAACCGAAATTATTTGGATGTAGCAATATCTTGATTTACCCAAACTTTTATGAATTCAAATAAAATTTTCAGATTAAGAACACAATTGCAAACCTCATTTACATAAAAAGGTAAAATACTTACACTTTTCATTATTTTTTAGAAGTTGTTTGCTTTCTTCAAGCTTTTGAACGGTAGCTTCTAACTGTTCTTGTAATTTGCACACCTGAAATGTCAATCCTCATAATAAGTATAATAAAGGCTAAATACTTAAATGTATTTCTATTAATTAATTACTATTAACTACTATTAAATAAATGAATTATAGCTCATCTATGTAACACTGTATATGTATACATGTATATACACATATACTGTACATTAATATGAATGCTCAAGGTATCTGAGTCATGATAACTAACTTTTCAAATTGAAATAGGTTAGCTTCTGTTGCAGCTAGTCATGTTCTTTTGGGGGGGGAGAAAAGTGAAAGCTCTTCTCTAATATAATAAAGTAGAAATTTTTAAAAATACATCTGAGAAAATTTGTTATACTTTGCAAATAGTCACACATGCAAAAATATAAAATATTCACTACCTCTTGCTCTTTAATTCGGAGAGACTGTCCAACATCTTGTAATTCCTTTTGTTCCTTTTGTAATTTGTCTTCCTTCTCAGCCAAGAGTTTCTCTTGCTGAATAGTTACTGTATTCTTCAGTTTTAATTTACCCATTAAAGTTTTCAGATCCCCCTGTAACTTCTTGATAATTTCATTTGCCTGTAAAAGAGCTTTATTTGTATATCTCTCTTAACCTAATAAAATTTAATATTCTATTATTTTTAAAAACAAACCTTAAGAAGTTCCGCTGATAATGATTGGATCGTAGCTTCAAGTTTTCCTAGTTGTACCTGATTTTTCTCACCATTCTCTTCTAAAGCAACCTGATACATATTTTTTAAAACATGAATAGTTAATAGGATGTTTGTGTTTAAGAAAAGCATCACTTGTAAATGTGATCACCAATTTTTAAAAAAAATGTTTAAATAGACCTTTTGTTCCTGGATGGTATCAAATGCTTCTTTTGTTCTTAAAACAAGCTGGTCCTTATCCTTGATTTCCTGTTCTAAAACAGCCACTTTTGTTTGTAGCTGATTAATATGCTTTTCTTTTTCGTGGCATTCGGCATCTAGTGTAGAATTCTCTCTTCGCAAAGAGAGGACTTCTTGCTTAGCCCGCTGGAGCTCCTAGAGGAAGAAAAAAATGATGCAGTATGAAAAAGAGAAGTTGGCTGCTCTGGTTATGTATAATTAAGATGTTTAAAATTTTAAAAAAAGGCTTCAATAATTTTAAAGTTCTAGTACTGATTTTTTTTTTAAAGATATAGATATACACTCTAAAGGTGTATGTAACTCGTAAACTTGAAATATAATTGTAAAATACACTAATATCTAATTCAATGACAACAGGGAAAATAATCCCAATTTATGAATAAATTACTACAACTTTTAAAAACGAGTAACAAGGATTTTCTGGTATCTCGAAATTTACACTTCAAAAAAAAAATCACTTGGGTAGTAAATGCACATTATAATAGAATTTCAAAAACATAAAATAATTAAAAAGGCCTATCTTTCTACCATGTAAGCAGTGGTTCTCAAGCTAGTATGCATACTGAAATCACCTAGGGAGCTTTAAAAAACCTACTGATGCCTGGTACCATCCCCAAGAGAATCTTATTTATAGTTAGTATGAGGTATGGCCTGGGCACTAGGAAGTTTAAGAGCTCTGCAATGGAGGGGCGCCTGGGTGGCTCAGTCCTTAAGCATCTGCCTTCGGCTCAGGTCATGGTCCCAGGGTCCTGGAATCAAGCCCTGCATCGGGCTCCCTGCTCCACGGGAAGCCTGCTTCTCCCTCTCCCACTCCCCCTGCTTGTGTTCCCTCTCTCACTGTGTCTCTGTCAAATAAAGAAAGAAATAAAATGTTTAAAAACAAAACAAAACAAAAAGAGCTTTGCGGTGGATTCTAAGGGTAGCCAAGGGTGACAACCATGATCCACAATTAACATTTTGCTCTATCTATATATACCTATTTTTTAAAAACTGCTCATACTGTGCAGTTTTATAATCAACCTTCTTTATATATTATAAATATCTTTCCATTTCAACAAATATGTTAACACTTCTGGATTTCCTCTTGGTTCACTCTTTTAAAACAAAACCAAGCAAATATAATTGTTAATCAAAAACAGATTTTTAAAAATCTGGTACAGATTACTTCCCAATCAGCTAATATTAACCAAATACTGCCAGTATACACAAGTCCAGGATATAGTATTCCTAGATAATTTTCATTTTTAACAAAACTTTACAAGATAATTTTATAGTATTATGCCATACTGGTTTTAGAAACAGACCCTGCTATCAGACAGACTTGAATACAAATCTAGGTTCTTTGGTATAATATTAGGAATTATTTAACCTCCCTAAATCTCCATTCCCTCATTTGTAAAACAGAAATAACAAACACTTCATAAATTACTTGGCTTAATCTTCATAAAAACCATAATGCAAATTGCTTAGCATAATGCCTGGCACACAGTAAATAAAAAATGGCAGCAATTATTTTTAGGGCACTAATGCCTAAAAGGTAAATTTAACATGATTAGGTAACAATACTCAGAGGTTTAAAAAAAAGTTCCCAGTGCAACAACATGGATGGAGCTACATAGTATAATGCTAAGTGAAATAAGTCAGTCAGAGAAAGACAAATACCATATGATTTCACTCATACATGGAATTTAAGAAACAAATGAGCAAAGGGAAAAAAAAGAGAGCCAAGAAACAGACTCTTAACTATTAAGAATAAACTGATGGTTACCAGAGGGGATGGGTGAAACAGGTGATGGGGATTAAGGAGTGCACCTGTCAAGAACAGCAGGTGTTGTATGGAAGTGTTAAAACACTATATTGGACGCCTGAAGCTAATATAACACTGTATGTTGACTATACTACAATTAAAATTTTTTTTTTTAAGTTTCCAGGACTCATAATTTTAAAGTCTTGGGCAAATCTGGCAAGAAATATTTTGACTAGATTATATAAAACCGACATAACAGAGCACACTGTTTTTAAAGTGGCCAATTTCAGGGCTAAGATAAAAGAAGTCATATAGCATTATAATGACTATCCAATGTACTAGGAAGGCTACAGTATTTTACAAACTGGTATGAAAGGTAAAGGGAGCAGGGAGGATGCACTAAAAACACCTACTGAGGCAGAATACTGAGGATCTGAACATAAAAATCAGTCAAGCTTTAGAGTTTCCTAAGCACAAGAGACTGGTGAAATGGAGTGGGAAGTCTCATAAGCTTGAGTAACACTGGTGATCTTTGTATTTAAATATGACAGACTTAACAAAATCTATGTTTTCTGATTAATTCATGACAATAATGTATAATGTTAGGAAGGAGTCTATCATCAGGGCCAAAGAATCAACAATGTGTCACTATAGCAAGATTTTCAAAATGTCTCTGTTGCCTGAAAAAGGGAGTACGAAAGACAAGCAAATAAGAGGATTCCAATCCTTGCTCTTCCACTTACTGGCTATGTGACCTTGGGCAAGTTACTTAACCTCTCTGTGCCTTAGTTCATCATCTGCAAAATGGGGATAATAGTACCTTCTTTAAAATAATGGTTATAAGAATTAAATGGGTTAATATATGTAAAGCAGTTAAACAGCACCTGTCACATAGCATATGTTCAGTATGCCTTAGCTATTATCATTACTAATATCATTATTATTATTAGACACAACTTCATATAGTTGTCTGACATGTTAAGTAGGTTGAAAGAACCAGTCCTGTCAAGACTGAATATGCTGAGCTATGCAGACACTGTGTGGAAATTAAAAGTACACTGAAAAATCTAATGGCTGTGTCAGTGAGTTCCTCCTCAAGACCCTAAGTAAAAATATCCAAGTTTACCTCGGTTCTATTTTGAATTATCCCTTTTCATCAGATTTTAGATTCTCAATTTTTTTTTTTGCAATGTCTGATTACCCTAATATCACCAAGACATCCTTGCAAAGCACAGAAACAAGTAATAAAGTCACCAAACTAAAATGTTATTTTAAATTGGGGGTGGGGGAAACAAACCCGAAGTTCAATACCTCTTCAACACTAGACAGTTTTGTTTTAAGTTCTCTGATGGTAGAGTCTCCTTTATATTTCCTTTCGGTTAGGTCTTTATTAGTGGCTTCCAACTCAGATAATCTGTTTTGTAGTTGCTGGATGTTTCGTTGATGGAGGATTTCTACATCTTTTTTCTGTTGTTCATGCTGCTGTTGGTACTGTACCTGTGCCTATTATATAATAAAAATATAGTCCCAAAATTCAAACAAAAAAAAACCCAAATACAAATACAGGAAGATTTGAAGAAAGTAAGTATTATTCTTCTATAAGATTATAAAATTTCCCTGTTTAAGAGGATCTATTTCCAATTACGGATTTCATGAAGAAGAAAGGTCAACAAAGGCAAATTTACCATTATGATCTTGCCCTTAGTTTCTGCTTCTCTTAAACCCTCAAATATTTAGTATAGTCTTCAAGTTAAGGGAAGAATCATATATGATTAGGTTAAAAAACTACACAATAGTGTGAACCTATTTGTGTTAAAAAAAAAAATGAGCAGGTACATAGGGAATTCCAGTATTCATTTTAAATACCATTATATTGTTTCAGTTTTTTACAACAGTGTATATTTTTTATAATAAAAAAACCCTAAAATTATAAAATTGACAAGGAATTGTTCATTAGCTCAGTTTTACACTTAGTAGCAACATTTTACCCATGATAAGATTTGAACAGAGTTATAATTGTTTAATCTCTGGTGCCTGTCTGAATCATACCACAAGTCTATGTTTATCATTTCTATTGATGAACACTATCAAATCCTAAATACCTTTCAAAAATAAAGTACATTTTTCTGATTATGAAAGTTATACATACTCTTAAATGCCCAAAGAAAGAAATTACAAATAACCAATAATCTCATCCAAGGAATAACTCTAAATATTTAGGAATATTTGTAATATATTTATTTGGGGAATATATATTCCTAATATATTTATACTGACATCACCCGTACGCATACAATATACATATTTAAGTTTAACTAATTAAGATCAAGCCATTTATACAACTTAATCATGCTTTTTATTCCTTAGCATTTGTACCTTTTCTTTTTAAGATTTTATTTATTTATTTTAGAGACAGAGCGGGAGGAGGAGGAGCAGAGGTAGAGGGACAAGCAGACTCTGTGCTGAGTGCAGAGCCCAACGCGGGGGTCAATCCCATGACCCTGAGATCAAGACCTGAGCCAAAATCAAGAGTCAGACGTTTAACCAACTGAGCCCTGCATTTGTACCTTTTCATACCATAAAAAAACTCTGTAAACACTTTAATAGCTGCACATTATTCCATTCCATGGATATACTGTAATTCATTTAAGCCCTGTATTACTATGGACATGGACTTTCCAATTTTTCACAATTAGAAACAAAACTATGATTGCTTTTGTATACAGGCATACATCCAAAATTCAGATTATTTCCTTATGATCAATTATAGGTCAAAAAATGTGAACAGGGGCACCTGGGGGACTCAGTCAGTTTAGCTCCATCTTGGCTGTGGAGCCTAGTTAAAAAGAAAGAAGCCAAAAAAGTAAACAAATACAAAACTTGATATAGTTCCAAAACTGCATTCCAAAAAAGTTGTACCTATTTAAAAATTATTACAAGAACAGGGGAATGTCTCCCTCATAAAATACTTGGGGAATTTTACATAATTACTTTAAAATTCTCTCATTTTTTGAAAAATGGAAAGGAGGAGAGAAGGGAATAAAAGAGAAAAACAGAAAAAGTCCACAAAAGACTGAAAATGCAACGTGGGAAGAAAACACTGAAGGAGCAATCAAGAAGAATAAAGAGTAAACTGGAAAAGATGCTAATGTAACTGTTGAAGAAGGTAATCAAACACACTGAAGGCAATAAAGGCAATAAAAAAGGACTGGTTTTATCCTAGTGATCATTAGTATTTTGGAGTTTTTGTTTAAAAAAAAGAAAGAAGTATGAGGGATAGGACTCAACATTTACATTTTCTACTCTGTTCACTGCAGGTGATTCTGATACACACTAAAATTTTCAAATCTCTGCCTATAGGGCACCTGGGTGGCTCAGTCAGTTAAGTGTCTGACTCTTGATTTCAGCTCAGGTCACGATCTCAGGGTCATGAGATTGAGCCCTGCATCAGGCTCTGCACTGAGCATGGAGCCTGCTTGAGATTCTCTCTCCCTCTCCCTCTGCCCCTTCCACTACCACCCCCCTCCCCACATGCACAAGCTCTCTCTCTAAAAATAAATAAAATAAAATCCATTATCATAACATTAGATAAAAGTGGAAAAAATGACATGATTATTTGATTAAATCCCCCAAAATCACATCTGACTTAGCACTCTTTAACTCTCAGGACATAGAACAAAAGAAAACTTTCTCCAATGCAGAGCAAACATGATTCTTAAAGATGAGATATTTTAAGTTATTTACCAAAAAAAGAATAGAACGAGGAAAGGATTCACTACTATTTGGCATTTTTCTGTACAAGAAAAAAAAGACACTAATCTTAAAAACAAAAAACATAAATTACCATTTTTATACATTATATATTTACCTGAAAAACCTAAGACAATCAGTTCTAAAACTATCAGAATCTGTAAATATAATGTACAATTAATGAATACAACATTAATGCACAACAACAATCAAAATTAATCACAATGCTGGGACATAGATGGTCCAATTTATACAGCAAAAAACTATAAAATCTCTAGGCATATTTAGTAAGAACTGTAAAAAAAAAAAAGGAAAGAAGTCAGAGGGAAATAAAAAGCAAACTATAAGCCTGTTTTTAATAAGACCTGAATAAATGAAAAGATATTCTATTGGGTTAGAAAATCTGAAAGATATTAGTTCTCCCCAACACTCCAGAAACAAGCTTAAATATACAAAGAAATTTAGAATATATTAAAAGTTGCATTTTAGGGGTGTCTGGGTGGCTGTCATTAAGCATCTGCCTTCGGCTCAGGTCATGATCCCGGGGTCCTGGGATCGAGCCCCACATCGGGCTCCCTGCTCGGCAGGAGGCCTGCTTCTCCCTCTCCCACTCCCCCTGCTTGTGTTCCCTCTCTCACTGTGTCTCTGTCAAATAAATAAATAAAATCTTTAAAAAAAGTTGCATTTTAAATCAGTGGAATATATGGTATTGGAACAAATGACTGACTTTATGTCAAAAAATACCTATCTCATACTGTACTCCACAAAAATATATCCCAAACAGATTAAAAAGTTAAATACAACAAAAAAAATGTAAAAGTATTAAAAGAAAATATTGAAGGAATAGATTTTATAACCCTGGGTGGCAGAGGCTTTCCAAACATGAAGCTTTAAACCATAAAAGCAGAGATTGACAGATTTGATGACATTCAAATAAAAAGAACCATATAGGGCAAAAAGCAACAGTAAATAGTAAAAGACAAAGATAGCCTGGGAGAAAATGTTTATAATATACATAATAAAGATATACTATGCCTACTTTACACCAGAGAGAAATGAAAAGGCAAGCCACACACAGAAAATATTCATAATGCATGTGTCTGACAAAGGACTCATGTCCAGATCATACAAAAAAATCCCTACAAATCCATAGGTAAAACACTAATAGTCTAATTTAAAAATGGGCTAGGAGCACCGGGGTGGCTCAGTTGGTTAAGCGTCTGCCTTTGGCTCAGGTCATGATCCCAGGGTCTTGGGATAGAGCACCACTCCTTCCCTCTCTTAAATAAATAATCTTTAAAAAAAATAAATAAAAATAAAAATGGGCTAAAGATGAAAACAGGCAAGAGTATTCTTGAACTTCACATGAGAATATCCAAGTGGTCAATACATATATGAAAATGTGTGATTATAACGTATTATCACACACCCTCAGAATGGCAGTGTAAACTGGTATTCCACTTTAAAACAAAAACTTATCAACAATAACCATACTATGGAAAGAGAGCAAACATCCACCAACTGATGAATGTATAAAGAAGATGTGGCGTATATACACAATGGAATATTATTCAGCCATCAAAAAGAATGAAACCTTGCCATTTGCAATGACATGGATGGAGCTAGAGTGTATTATCCTAAGCAAAATAGGTCAGAAAAAGACAAATACCATATGATTTCGTTCATATAAGCAATTTACCAACAAAACAGATAAACATAGGGGAAGAAAAAAAAAAAGAGAGAAGGAAGCAAACCATGAGACTCTTAGTGACAGAGAACAAACTGAGGGTTGATGGAGAGAGTTGGGTGGCAGACAGGCTAAGTGGGTGATGGGTATTAAGGAGGGCACTTGTTATGATGAGTACTAAGTGTTATATGTAAGTGATGAATCACTAAATTCTACTCCTGAAACCAATAATGTACTATATGTTAACTTGAATGTAAATAAAAATTTGAAAAAAAGAAATTATAACAAGAGACAAGGACACTGTGTAATTATTAAGGAGACAATCCAACAAGAAGATATAAAAATTATAGATATTTATGCATCCAAATATATTTTATGCACCCAACATATCTGAGGAGCACCCAAATACATAAAGCAGCTAATAACAAACATAAAGGAGCGAATTGACAGTAATACAGTAATAGTAAAGGACTTTAACATCCCACTTACATCAATGGACAGATCATCAAAACAGAATATCAACAAGGAAACAGTGGTTTTGAATGACACATTGACATGACAGATTTAATAGATATATACAAAGCATTCCATCAGAAAACAGCAGACTACACATTCTTTAGACCATAAAACAAGCCTCAACAAATTCAAAAAGATCAAAGTCATTCCATTCATCTTTTCTGACCACAATGCTATGAAATTAGAAATCAATCACCCCCCCCAAAAAAAAAATCTGGGAAGAGTACAGATACATGGACAGGTTAAATAATATGTTCCTAAACAATGAAAAGGACAACCAAGAAATCAAAAAGGATTATCAAAAAATACATGCAAAAAAATGAAAATGAAGACACTGTTCAAAATCTTTAGGAGGCAGCAAAAGCTGTTCTAAGAGGGAAGTTTATAGCAATATTGGCCTACCTCAAGAAGCAAGAAAAATCTCAAATAAACAACCTAACCTTATACCTAAAGGAGCCAGACAAAGAATAAACAAAACCCAAAACCAGCAGAAGGAAATAAAAATTATAACAAAAATAAATGACACAGAAATGGGGAAAAAAAAAAAAAGGACAAATCAATGAAACCAGGAGCTGGTTCTTTGAAAAGATCAACAAAATCGAAAAACCTTTAGCTAGACTCATCAAAAAAAAAAGAGGACTCAAAATCAGAAATGAAAAAGGAGAAAAACCGCCTTTCTGCCCGTGGACGCCGCAGAGTAAGCATCGTTTAAGTCTCCCCTCCCACCGCCGTCATGTCTAAGTCAGAGTCTCCCAAAGAGCCTGAACAGCTGCGGAAGCTCTTCATCGGAGGTTTGAGCTTTGAAACAACCGATGAGAGTCTGAGGAGCCATTTTGAGCAATGGGGAACGCTTACGGACTGTGTGGTAATGAGAGATCCAAACACCAAGCGCTCCAGAGGCTTTGGGTTTGTCACGTATGCCACTGTGGAGGAGGTGGATGCAGCCATGAATGCAAGGCCACACAAGGTGGATGGAAGAGTTGTGGAACCAAAGAGGGCTGTCTCAAGAGAAGATTCTCAAAGACCTGGTGCCCACTTAACTGTGAAAAAGATTTTTGTTGGTGGCATTAAAGAAGACACTGAAGAACATCACCTAAGAGATTATTTTGAACAGTATGGGAAAATTGAAGTGATCGAGATCATGACTGACCGAGGCAGTGGCAAAAAGAGAGGTTTTGCTTTTGTAACATTTGATGACCATGACTCTGTAGACAAGATTGTCATTCAAAAATACCATACTGTGAATGGCCACAACTGTGAAGTAAGGAAAGCCCTATCTAAGCAAGAGATGGCTAGTGCTTCATCCAGCCAAAGAGGTCGAAGTGGTTCTGGAAACTTTGGTGGTGGTCGTGGAGGTGGTTTTGGTGGGAATGACAACTTTGGTCGTGGAGGGAACTTCAGTGGTCGAGGTGGCTTTGGTGGCAGTCGAGGTGGTGGTGGATATGGTGGCAGTGGGGATGGCTATAACGGATTTGGTAATGATGGAAGCAACTTTGGAGGTGGCGGAAGCTATAATGATTTTGGCAATTACAACAATCAATCCTCAAATTTTGGACCCATGAAAGGAGGAAATTTTGGAGGCAGGAGCTCTGGCCCCTATGGTGGTGGAGGCCAATACTTTGCCAAACCACGAAACCAAGGTGGCTATGGTGGTTCCAGCAGCAGCAGTAGCTATGGCAGTGGCAGAAGGTTTTAATACTGCCAGGAAACAAAGCTTAGCAGGAGAGGAGAGCCAGAGAAGTGACAGGGAAGCTACAGGTTACAACAGATTTGTGAACTCAGCCAAGCACAGTGGTGGCAGGGCCTAGCTGCTACAAAGAAGACATGTTTTAGACAATACTCATGTGTATGGGCAAAAAACTCGAGGACTGTATTTGTGACTAATTGTATAACAGGTTATTTTAGTTTCTGTTCTGTGGAAAGTGTAAAGCATTCCAACAAAGGGTTTTAATGTAGATTTTTTTTTTTTGCACCCATGCTGTTGATTGCTAAATGTAATAGTCTGATCATGACGCTGAATAAATGTGTCTTTTTAAAAAAAAAAAAAAAGAAAAAGGAGAAAAACCAACACCACAGAAGTACAAAGGGTTACAACATAATTATGAAAAATTATATGCTAACAAATTGGACAAACTAGAAGAAATGAATAAATTCCTAGAAGCATATAACCTCCCAAAAAAACTCAGGAAGAAAGAGAAAGTTCAGACCGATTACCAGCAATGAAATTGAATCAGTAATGAAAAATCTCCCCACAAACAAAAGCCCGGGACCAGACAGCTTCATAGGTCAACCAAATATTTAAAGAAGAGTGAATACCTATTCTTTTCAAACTATTCCAAAAAATAAAAGAGAAAGGAAAACTTCCAAATTCATTCTAGGAGGCCTGCAGTACCCCGACACCAGGATCAGATAAAGACACAACAAAAAAAGAGAACTTCAAGCCACTATCCCTAGTGAACATAGATGCAAAAATCCCCAACAAAATAGTAGCAAACCAAATTCAAATACATTAAAAAAAAAATCATTCACCATGATCAAGAGGGATTTATTCCTGGGTTGCCAGGATGGATCAATATTCAAAAATCGATGTTAATACATATCAATAACAAAGGATAAAAACCACATGATCATCTCAATAGATGCAGAAAAAGCATTTGACAAAGTACATCAATTCATGATAAAAACCCTCAACAAGGTACATTTAGAGGGAACATACCTCTACATAATAAAGGCCATTTATGAAAAACCCACAGCTAACATCATCCTGAATGGGGAAAAACGTTTTCCCCCTAAGATCAGGAACAACACAAGGATGTCCACTCTCACCACTTTTATTCAACATAGCACTGGAAGTCTTAGCCACAGAAATCAGACAAGAAAAAGAAACAAAAAGCATCCAAATTGGTAAGGAAGAAATAAAATTTTCACTATTTGCAGATGACATGATACTATATATAGAAAACTCTAAAACCTCCACCAAAAGTTACTAGAATAAATGAATTCATTAAGATCATAGTATACAAAATCTATGTATAGAAATCCATTGCATTTCTATACACTAATAATAAAGCAACAGAAAGAGAAATTAAGAAAGTAATCCCATTTGTAATTGTACAAAAATAAGATACCTAGGAATAAATTTAACCAAGGAAGTAAAAGACCTATACTCTGAAAACTATAAAACATTGATGAAAGAAACTAAAACTGACAGAAACAAATGGAAAGATATTCCATGCTCATGGACTAGAAGAACAAATACTGTTAAAATGTCCACATTACCCAAAGCAATCTACACATTTAATGTAATCCCCATCAAAATACGACAGCATTTTTCACAGAACTAGAATAATCCAAAAATTTGTATGAAGGCACAAAAGCCTCCAAATAGCCAAAACAATCTAGAAGAAAAAAAAAAGCTGGACGTATCATAATTCCAGACTTCAAGTTATATTACAAAGCTGTAGTGATCAAAACAGTATGGTATTGGCACAAAAATAGACACACAGAACAAGAGAACAGGACAGAAAGTCCAAAACAAACACACGATTATATGGTCAATTAATCTTTGAGAAAAGAGGCAGTAATAGGCAATGGGAAAAAGATAGTCTCTTCAACAAATGGTATTGGGAAAAATGGACGGGTACATGCAAAAGAAGGAAACTGAACCACTTTCTTACACCATACACAAAGATAAACTCTAAATGGATTAAAGTCCTAAATGTGAGACCTGAGACCATAAAAATCCTAGAAGAGAGCACAGGCAGTAATTTCTCTGACACTGGCCATAGCAACATTCTTCCAGATATATCTCCTGAGGCAAGGGAAAGAAAAGCAAAAATAAACTATTGGGACTACATCAAAATAAAAAGCTTCTGGGGCGCCTGGGTGGCTCAGATGGATAAGCGTCTGCCTTCACATCAGGTCATGATCCCAGAGTCCTGGGATCGAGTCCCACATCAGGCTCCCTGCTCCTTGGGAGCCTGCTTCTCCCTCTGCCTCTCTCTCTCTGTCTCTCATGAATAAATAAATAAAAATCTTTATAAAAGGAAATGACATTTTAAAAATAAATAAATAAAAATAAAAAGCTTCTGCACAGTGAAAGGAACAATTAACAAAACTAAAAGGCAACCTATTGAATAGAAAATATTTGCAAAGGACATATCTGATAAAAAGCTAGCAAAAATACACAAAGAACTGATACAACTCAATGCCAATAAAACAAACAATCCAGTGAAAAAAACGGACAGAACACATGAACAGACATTTCTCCAGAGAAGACACAGATGGCCTACAGACAAATGAAAAGATGCTCAATATCACCATCAGGGAAATGCAAATCAAAAGTACAATGAGCTATCATCTCACACCTGTCAGAATGGTTACAATAAAAAAAAAACACAAGAAACAAGTGTTGGTGAGGATGTGGAGAAAAAGAAACCCTCATACACCTCATGTAAACTGGTGCAGCTGCTGTGGAACAGTATGGAGGTTCTTCAAAAAATTAAAAATAGAAGGGCACCTGGGTGGTCAGCAGGTTACACATTTGCCTTCGGCTCAGGTCATGATCCCAGTGTCCTGGGATTGAGACCCACATCGGGCTCCTAGCAGGGAGTCTGCTTCTCCCCTCTCTCTGCCGCTTTCCCTGCTCATTCTCTCTCTCTCACTCTCTAAAATAAATAAATAAATAATCTTTAAAAAATTAAAAATAGAACTACCCATGGGGCGTCTGGGTGGCTCAGTTGGTTAAGCGTCTGCCTTCAGCTCAGGTCATGATCCCAGGGTCCTGGGATCAAGCCCCATATCAGGCTCCCTGCTCAGCGGGAAGCCTGCTTCTCCCTCTCCCACTCCCCCTGCTTGTGTTCCTTCTCTCGCTGTGTCTCTCTCTGTCAAAAAAATAAAAAAAATTAAAAAAAAAAAAAAAAAAGAACTACCCATAAGGGCTCCTGGCTGGCTCAGTCAGAAGAACGTGTGACTCTTGATCTCAGGGTCGTGGGTTTGAGCCCCAGATTGGGTGTAGAGATTACTAAAGAAAATAAAGTTAAAAAAAAAAATAGAACTACCCTACTATCCAGTAATCACACTATGGGGTATTTACCCAAAGAATACAAAAAACACTAATTCACCCTATGTTTATTGCAACATTATTTAAAATAGCCAAATTATGGAAGCAGCCCAAGAGTCTACCAATAGATGAATGGATAAAGAAGATGTGGGTTGTTTGTGTGTGTGTGTGTGTGTGTGTGTATACATATATACATATATTCCATTATATATATGGGATATAATATAAATATATATATTCCATATATGTATATACATATATACATACATCCCATTATATATATTATATCCCATTATATATATAGAATATATATATAGAATATATATATTCTATATATATATGTAGAATACTATTCAGCCATAAAAAATAATGAAATCTTGCCATTTGCAACAACATGGATGGAGCTAGAGTATAAGACTAAGCAAAATAAGTCAATCAGAGAAAGACAAATACCATATGATTTCACTCATATGTGGAATTTCAGAAAAAAAAGCAAATGGACAAAGAAAAAAAGACAAACCAAGAAAGAGACTCTTAATTGTAGAGAATAAACTGATGGTTATGTGCGCAAGGGCATGGGGTGGGGGAATAGGTAAAACAAGTGATGGAGATTAGAGTACACTTACGATGAACACTCAGTAATGTATATTATTGTTGAATTACTATATCATACACCTGAAACTAATACAACACTGTATGTTAACTATACTGGAATTAAAATTAAAAACTTAATAAAAATGAAAAAAAGAATATGGAGAAATAAGTAATGTCATACACTATCTTTTAGATTTGGTACAACCTTTCTGGCTAGCAAATTTGCAATATCCATTAGTATCTTATATAGGTATATTGCAATCTCACTTCTAGGAACAAAGAATGTTCACTGTAGTTTATTTGCGTCAGCCAAAATACTGAAGCATTTAAATGTCCACCAGTTGGGTAAGTAGCTAATTTATGTTATACCCAAATAATGAATACTACGCAGCCACTAAAAAAGAATATCTGAACTGATAAAGAATGACCTATGATGTCATGTTAGGTGAAAAAAGTTACAATCAATATATACTGTGGGACCTCATTAGCATAGAATACAACCAAAATCCACTATGTGTATACAAATATATAATTTACATATTTCTAAATTTATAAATATGAATAAATATTTACAAAGGACACATTATTTACATATAAAGAGAAAAGTCTGGAAAGGCACATATCAAAATGTTTATAAATTACCTCTAGGTAATAAGACTTTTAATGAGCAACATTTTTTTTATATACTTCTGTAATGTTTGAACATATTAAAGCAAGCATATATTACTTTTATAACTAACAAAATGACTAACAGCAGCAACAAAATAATTTTCTATTTTCTTTAATGTTCATACCTGCAAGGCCTTTTCTTTCTCATTTGTCAGTTCCTGGGAATGTTTATTTGACAGTGCAGCTGTATGTGATGCCCATTCATTCTGCAACTTATCTAATTCTTGGATTTTTTCTGATAATGTCTGTATTAGAGTTCAACACAAAATATTAAGACAGTCTTGTGAATGTTATTAGCTTAGAACATGGCAATATTTACAAAGGATATTAAAGAAAAGGAATCACAGCTTTCCAAAATACTCAAAGCCTTTTCCTACACAGATTTTTTTTTTAATTTGAGGAAATCAAGATTAGAATAAAAGAATTTTAGAGCTAACATGGCCCAGAAGTCAAGCTTAACTATCTTTAACCTTTTAGTTAAATCTGGCTCTTCACTACCTAATCCTCTCCTCTGACATTAAGAAATAAAGCAACCCAGGGTAGGGCAAGTCAGTTATATGGAGTGGTTCACTTATACATATCAAACCTAGTAACATAGATTTCCTAGATGGGCTATGTTGTACAGGACAATTTCTGCCTGAAGCCATGCCACTTATCAGATGTGGTCTTCAGTTTCAAGAACTAAGGGCAAAAAGGTAGTAGCTATGACTGAAATGATAATAAGCCTATCAGAATAAGTCATTAACACAGGTATAGAAGGGAAAGGTTTAGAAGATATGAAATGAAACATCATTTTAGACAGGAGTGAGGTGAATAAAAGAGCAAAGAACTAACATGTGACAGGTACTATATATTATTTAATGAAGACCTGAAAGGAATGTGTTTTATATTGAAGGTAACAGAAACATTTGGATGGAATCAACTATCAGAGAAAGCAATCAGATTAAGATAATTTGCTGATAGGGGAAAGGTGGCAAAAAGGAGAGGGAATTCAAAGGAACATGCTTTAAAAAAATAATACACAAAAGCCTGGATAGGATTCGAGAAGCAATTCAGAGCCAGTGTTTGGAGGAATCACAAAAACAAAATGAAATCTGAATTACCTTTTGTGTGAAATTCAGTTGCCTAGTAACATCATCTAGTGATTGCATCAATGATAATTTTTCTTCCTATTTATAAAAACAATAAAATTATGCAGTTTACAATTTAATCATCTGTAGCTGTGCTACTCAAAGTATAGCATCAGCATCACCCTGAGAGTTTGCTAAAAAATGCAGAATTTTGGGTTCCACTTCAGACCTTCTGATTCACAATCAGAATGAGGAAGATCTCTAGAGGATTTGTATACCATTAAAATCTGAGATGCACTAATCTATAGCATTTGACTAAAAAGTCTTTATGAAAACTATGAAGAGGCATCCTAATGTTGTTTTCTTGCTCCATAAACCATATAAAATTATAGAGCACCTTTGTAATTCTCAAGACACTTTCATATCTTTTTCCTCATTTGAGACAGATGTAATAGGGTAGTAGGTATTTCCATACTTATCTATCAGCTGATAAAACAATGATAAAACAGTTTAAGTGACCTATCCAGATTACAGAAAATTAATAAAAGCCATGGGACCTAGTTTTTTAATTTTTGGCCCAGTTCTACCCTCACTGTATCTTGATTAAATGGAAAAAAAAAATAAAGTAAAAATAAATTCCTTACATATTATAAAAACTTACTAGACATCTTTAACAATACTTTATTCTGAAAACAAAAATAGCACTATAACTCCTCAGTGACTTATCAGAGACTTTTGGTACTTATTTTTAAAAGAATAACTTAAATTTAAATCTTACCTTGCTACATTTCAAACAGCCAGCTAAAAACTTCTTTATTTCCACATCATTTCCAGGTAAAAGTTTTAGCGAGAGGTGTGTAAGATGCTTAAAAGGATTTGTCTCTACCACATTTAAAAAGGCAGGTGAGTTATCCAAAAGAGGTGCTGGACAAACTAACTGTAGCAAAAACCTTTGAAAAGAAAGTGTCACAATATAACAACACTTATGAGATAGTGAAATTCTCCCACTGAATCATAAGCTCCAGTGAATCACTGATGCTTAGAAGCATTGGGAAAGAAGGCATATTGGAATCCCAGGGGCCAATATAAAAGGACTCCCAATGGTAAAACTGGATAAACTAAGAGTAAAATGGAAAAATTGAGCAAGAAATAGAAAAAGGATTCACTGAAATACAGTGAATATACAAATGTCCATGAGTTCACAATGAAAGACACAGTAGAAAAATAAAAAAACCGAAAACCGATAGAAAACACAAAGGTAACTAGAGTAACAACTCCTTATTCTAAACATTGACAATTTAAAAGAATTAAGCATTTATCCTTTCCTTTCCATAGTAATCAAATAGCCCAAACTGATGAGGAAAAGTTCTTCTTTATAAAAGAATTATACCTAATAAATATAAAAAGAATGACAGAATTAGACACGCATAACTTTGTAGTTCCTAACGAAATAATTGATTCAAACAACAATCATCAATTGATGAACCCAATAGATAAAAGGTTAGTGAACTTTACAATGAAAGGATCAGGCTTTAGCATCACACAAACATGAATATACACATATAAACACAAAATCTTATTCCTCTTATCCAAGTTCATTATAAAATCATATACTTGATGCTGTTAAATATTTCAGATAGCTTTAATGACTCTGTCAAGACATGAAAATTAAGGGGTAAATATTCTGATTTTAACCATGATTCCTTAAAATTTGATATTTAATAGCCCTAAACCCAGTTAAAAATAGACAGGAGTACTTACAACACATAGAAAATATTTTGCCATCAATTTGTCTTACAAAGAAGAGTTTCTCTTGAGAGAATTTTAATGACGTAGTGCTCTTATGAGACTTACCTTGGAATTTCTTTGGCATGTTCTTGAGTACATTGCTGAAGGAGATCTATAAATTTTTGTGGGAAAGCTAAGAAGTCTACCAAAAGGCCTTGCTGGAATTTTAAGCTATACAGAAAAAAGAGATTTTTTAAAAATTTAATTACTATCTTTAATTAAAACCCTAAAATATTCTTTTTTTATTTACCAAATATCCACTATAATCAAGAACTAGAGAACTGTTTTTAAGAATTTATTCAATGGGAGGGAAAAGGTCAATATATTTAGCTAAAGCTCCAAATCTGAGCTGTTTTAAGCAGAATTCTGATAAGCTATGAAATATTTACTTTCAAAAACATCCCGAATAATTATAGTATAAGCAGTCCAGTATTCTCAAAATACCTAAATGTTCCTAATAGGCTGCATTTCAAAGAGAATACTACCAATACATCAATAAAATTTATTTCCTAGATTAAATATAAAAACGGAAAAATAAATTTAGTTACCTCTGAAAATCTTCCTCAGATATAACAAGGTTATACAGAAAAAATGGATCAGTATCATCAGTCAGACGGATAACTAAATCCTAAAAGAAAGATTGTTATTTTTTAATGTTTTCAATAGATCAGTCTTTTAGAGTAATTTCTTCCTTCTTAGAAGTGAAATTATCCAGTAACAACAATGTATCACCAATATACTTCAGATGACTTTGTTTTCTGGTGCAGCTGGGTTTTCATTAGTCTTTAAGAGACTTAAGAATCTTAAACAGGAGTAGATACTCTGTTCCTTGAGAGCCATGTGGGGGTCTATAAAAACTAGTTAAATGGTAGGAGTTGCAAGTTGAGGAATACCATCCTATTAGAGGCTTAGGAAAACTGAGAACCAGTCCTTGCTGCACTATAGCATGATAAAAACATTCTACCACTGACCACATCATATTCAATTATATTTTCAGTTTCCCGTAAGTTAATTGTCTGATATTTCAAAAGTGGCAATATATCAGCTGAAATGACAAGCAATCATGTATCCTAGAAAAGGAGCATTTTTCTCTCGGGCAGAAGACAGGGGTATCAAGTAACATGTTGCCAGGGCTTCTTTCTAAGGGCCTATTCTCTCCTACTCCAGGTGGCCAGTGACATGGAACTCAATCTGTTTTCAGTTTTACATTAAGTGAATATCTTTCATAAAGACCATTTTCTACATAAATTTACAGTATGGCAGAACATGACAGCAGCTAATGCTGACAGAGAAGTACACAGAAATTACGTACCAAAGTACGTATCAGAACACTGATATAAAGAAAACAGGCATAGCAACAAGATGACGGAGGCCTAACAGAAGAACGAATCAGCATTCAGGTTGAGAATAAGCTTCCACCTTGAAATAAAATCTACTCGTGGCTACTGAGGAACTGCTAGGGTCCTAGAAAAATCTAAACCACTTATGGGTAGAGCTAGAAAATGAAGAGGTATAACAGACCTAAGGAATAACATGTAAAAAATGTAACATATAATCTCTACTCCAGAAAATTAGCAATCTAGGTATTTGCTCTGACTCAGAATGTCCTGCCTAAAGGCAGCTTCTACAGAAGTACTTCTTGAAATTCACCCCAAGATGCTATAAAAAAACTGAAGCTACTACTAATAGTACAAGGTTCTTGAATGTCATGTTTAGGGAAAGCTATGACACAGAGAAAACAGATGCTGTATTTCTTAGTCATCTTGTCTGTATCAATATCACTAATGACTCATACTTATGAAGATCATATAGGACTGATGCTCTAAATGCCTCCCTTCAAAAGGCAAAGATTCAAAAATATCTCCCTGCAGCGCTTCAACTCATTCTATCCTCACATGTACAACATGAAATGCCAATTCTACAGGGTAGCAATATATATCCTAGCAACGTATAAGTGCATTGGGCAAACCTAACCCCCAATTCTCCCAATCCCCAATCCTTCCTGTATGCTTTAGAAACAGATGATATAGGGGCACCTGGGTGGCTCAGTCAGTGGAGCATCTAACTCTTGATTTTGGCTCAGGTCATAATTTCAGGGTTGTGAGTGCAAGCCCTGAGTTGGGCATGCTCACCGAGGAGTCTGCTTGAGACTCTCTCTCTCTCCCCCTCTGCCCCTTCCCCCCACACACACTCCTAACCCCCCTCAAATAAATAAATAAAATCTTAAAAAAAAAAAGAAGAAGAAAGAAACATTATGGTATAATAATCTCTCAGTTGTTGTCCTAGTAGATTCTATCAGCCCAGATTTGCAAGTTACAAACTGGCCCAAAACTAAAAAGCAAGCTGGTGTAACAAAAGATCTCACATTCTTAAAGAACAAAAATAATTATAACGCATAGAAATTCCATTTCAAAAAAAATGAAAATATTTCAAAAGAAATTAATACCAACCTTTCTGTGAACTGGATTGGAAACTGATTGTAGTTCAATGCTCACTCTAACATTCACTCTCCTATATGAAAAGATATACCCAATTGTCAGAAACAATCATGAGTTAGCACTGTCATTTGTATCAGCTGAAGTTTTCAGTCTTAAGCTGCAAGATTGTGCACAGGTGTTCCCTAAGTTATGAAAGGATATTTGGGAAGCATACCAGTTTTGAAGTTTAAGTTTCTGTTCTTCCACTAGTAACTAATCAGGTTTTTAACCAGAGATTATATTTTTCTCTCCTGTAAAATGGGACTGTTGTGAGAATTAAATGAGATAAACAATGTGGAATTCCCATTACTAGTCTGGAATATAACCTACTGCCCGGATTCTAAAATAGCATCTACTGAAAGCCAAACAAACCATCAATAACAACTTTCCACATTAAAAATAATTACCAATTCAAATGATCAAATTGATTTATGAGATTCCATTTGAAAAACTTAAAATGTGAAGCAGTATTGGAATACATGGAATGTTTACAATCCAGGAAGTAAGATAACACATTCCCCTCCCTTATACATACACAAAATCCACCAACTACATCTGCTCAATATAGTCCTTGTGCAATACCTTGTATGTCAGTTTATTATCCACCTTAACCTAGAGTAACTCTAAACTCCAAAAGAAATCATAGCTTTCCACATTCTCTACTGCATCTTAGAGAATTCAGTATCAGACAGAGGCATATAAATCAAGGTGCTCATAACCATTAATTAAACTGAGCAAAGATGTTTAAATGATCAAGGAAATAAAGGGAAAAATTGGTGAAAAAACATCTCTGCACAAAAGTTCTATATTCTGCTAGAATTAAAAAACAATGGTCTTTCCCTGATGTGTAGGAAACAAAAGTAAACAAATAGAATTTGTTCAATTTTAAGCTATTCTTAAACATCTTAAGATGTGTTTTAAATTTTTCCCACATTCTGTTACTTATCTACTGCAGAAGTAAAAAGTATAGACCTAGCAACCAAGCGTTGGAAAAATTAGGTAATAGTTGAGCAAAGCCAGATTCAATTGTCCAGATTTTTTTATGCTACAACTTAAAATTTTTATTTTGGCTTTTTATGTCATTTTAGTTAAATTTCCTATTGAACATATGATTGGATGCTAAATCTTAGCATGATGAGGTTACCAGATGATAAGGTTACCATAACTTCTGTTATCTGAAAAAGAACAAGCAGCACTGGCAAATACCACAGAAAGGAAGAATTTTTTTTTTTTTAAAGATTTTATTTATTTATTTATTTGACAGAGAGAGAGAGACAGCGAGAGAGGGAACACAAGCAGGTGGAGTGGGAGAGGGAGAAGCAGGCTTCCTGCTGAGCAGGGAGCCCGATGGAGGGCTCGATCCCAACAGCCTGGGATCATGACTCGAGCCGAAGGCAGACGCTTAACGACTGAGCCACCCAGGCGTCCCCAGGAAGAATCAATTTTATTTTATTTTTTTAAGATTTTATTTATTTCTTTGACAGAGAGAGAGACAGCAAGGGGGAGTGGGAAAGGGAGAAGCAGGCTTCCCGCCAAGCAGGGAGCTGGATGTGGGGATCGATCCCAGCACCCTGAGGTCATGACCTGAGACGAAGGCAGTCGCTTAACCAACTGAGCCACCCAGGCACCTCCAAGAAGAATTATTTTTAGAACAAGAAAATGTTTTTCTATTTTTCTATTATCTAGCGTAATATATGTGAAACAGATTAGATTTCTACTCTAACTCTACTTAAATGACATATTCTTGGGACACCTGGGTAGCTCAGTCGGTTAAGCCTTAGGCTTAGGTCATGATCCCAGGGTCCTCGGATCTAGTCCCTCTCCCACTCCCCCTGCTTGTGCACATGTGCTTTTGCTCTCTCCTCTGGCAAATAAATAAAATCTTTAAAAAAAAAAAATTAAGTATTCTTGGGGGAAAAAAACTTTTAATTTCCTAATTTGTACGATAAGTGAATTGAGTTAGGTTTGTGAGGACATTTTCAGATCTACATTGTCATTATGTTTGGTTTTTGTCTTGAAGTTTTTTCTAAAACATACTGCCACAGGGGATGTGACACTGCAGTAGATAACTTTTTATGGTAACATACATTTTTTTTTTACTTTAAATTTTTTATTGTTATGTTAATCGGCATACATTACATCATTAGTTTTTGATGTAGTGTTCCATGATTCATTGTTTGTGCATAACACCCAGTGCTCCACGCAGAATGTGCCCTCTTTAATACCCATCACCAGGCTAACCCATCCCCCCACCCCCTCCCCTCTAGAACCCTCAGTTTGTTTCTCAGAGTCCATCGTCTTTCATGGTTCGTCTCCCCCTCCGATTTACTCCCCTTCATTCTTCTCCTGCTATCTTTTTTTTTTTCTTAACATATATTGCATTATCTGTTTCAGAGGTACAGATCTGTGATTCAACAGTCTTGCACAATTCACAGCGCTCACCATAGCACATACCCTCCCCAATGTCTACATACGCTTTCATGTCATACTTGATAAATTTGTTTTAAAAAAAATCAAGAAGTCATTTAGCAAAGTATTCTTTAGATTGTACCGGAAGAATCACATTAATAAATTTAAGAAGCATATTAATGATATTGTTGCATATATTCCAAATGTCTATAATGCATTAGTCTTGGGAGAAAAAGAGAGGAGGAAAGGCCCATAGATTAAACCTCTCCCTCCTGCCCCAAAGTATATCGTAGAAAAACCTGAGCTTTCAGAAAATATAGTATCTGAAATCACAATCTTATTTTCTCCATTATAACGGTTGTCATAGGAAAAATATAAAATAAAAAAACTCATAAAAAATGCTATTTCTGAAAATAAATGTCATACTCTGAACAATGCATAAATTCACATAACATCCTCCCTACCAGTTAGATTTGGCATTAGCAGAACTGGATTCTAGCCCACCTCCACCACCTAGAAGCTGTGACCTGAACCTTTCAATTCAAACAAATAAAAGCTACTCTAAGCCACGAAGTATGCTGGATACTAGGGATACAAACAGAAATAAACATGGTCCATGTCCTCAAATCAGATTAAATGACTCTATCCAGACTTGCTTCTGATTGTATTTTAGTGCTTCAAGAGAAGGAAGGGAAGGGTTACTAACACTGAGCACCCACACTACTGAGTATCTACCGGGTGCTTTACATATACCTTATTTAACAACAATCTTCCTAAGTAAATAGTTACGTCTGTCTTACAAAGGAAGAACCTGAGGTGCACAGTTACAAACTTGGTTAAAGTCACCTTACAGAGCCCAAATTAGAACTCAGACCTTTCACTTACACTATGTTATCTAATAAATGAATAGGGCAATTAATTTCAACTTGGGCAACTTTGAAAAGGTCCTTACAGTGAAGGGATTGAAGACAGACCTTGAAGGTTATGGGGAAAAAAAAGGCACTTGAGGCAGGAAGAAGAGCAGGAATAAAAGTATGGTATTGAGAGAGTATCAGGTACATTCAAGGGATAAGTAGTCTTGTATGACTAGTATATGGGAAAAAGAAATTCTAAAACAAAAATGAAAAAAGAGGTTGGTGTCAAACCATGGGCTTCAAAATTCTGCATTCTTCCCTCCAGAGTTCTCTGAGGGAGAGCTTCCACTGAAGTTCCTTCTTCTTTATGACTTTAGTATATTGATGTCACTCCACGCATTCATCACACTTTAATAATTGTTTAGTGAATGCTTATTGTGCTTCAGGCACTGTTCTAAGCACTTTGTATGTTATTAGCTGATTTCATGCTCCTAATTATCCCATGAGGCAGGTACTTTTATAAGCATTAATTTAAAGATGAGACACAAAGAAAAAAATGTACAAAATCAGTGACAGAAATGGGATTTAAACCCAGATAATCTGGCTCCAGACCCTGAACTCTTAACCTGTGCTATGCTGCCTCTCCACAAAGATTTTTTCGTTTCCCCTATTAAAGTGTGAGTTCCTTAAGGCCCAGAATGAAAATTGTTTTTGTTGTTGTTGTCAGGAGGCAGGGAAATAAAGAGAGAGAAAGCCAGACAATCTCAGCACGTAGGATAATTCCTGGTACACAGTATGTATTCATAAATATTTGCTGAGCTGAACTGGTCTTGAATATTTAACTAAAGCCTAGACTGCTTTCCCTATGGGTCAGGGGCCAGCATATTTTCTGCAAAGGGCCAGACAGTAAATACTTTAGGCTTTGCAGGCCATAAGGTCTCTGTCACAATTATTCATGTCTGCCTTTATGGCACAAAAACAGCCAGACAATTCTTAAATGAGAATGGCTGTGTTCCAATAAAACTTTACTTAAACAGGCAGAAGGCCACCTGGCCCATGGGCCCGCTTGCTGATCCCTGCTACAGGTGACAGAAATATACCAAAGGTTTCTAAACAAGAGTAAAAAGGTTGACAATGTGTTTTAAGATAACTGTGATGGCAATATAATGAAATGGAGAAGAACTAGGAGTTCCAATATTGGAATAAGAAATGATGCTCCCCCCCTTTATATTTCTATAATTATTCTAGAACACTGCTGTCCAACAGAGATACAATGGAGGCCACAAATATGAGCCAAATATGTAATTTCAAATTTTCTAAAATTTTCATTAAAAAAATTAAAAGGAACAGGTAAATTAATTGTAATTTTTCTTGAATATATCCAATGTCAAATATAAATTTCCCAAGTTTACGATATACAGAATATATTTATTAACATTTGTTGTTAGTAATTTATACCCAACATTATACATATTCAATATATCCAAAATAGTGTCATCTTTACAATCAACATAAAAATAGAGATATTTTACATTCTTTTTCCTAGTAAGTCTTCAAAACTCAATGCGCATTTTGCTCTTACCACACGTCAATCCGAATTAGCTCCATTTCAGAAGTCCGATAACCATATGTGACTCTCATACTGGACAGCACAAAAGAACTCAAATACCCTACAGTATCTCCACATGCAGCTGCTAGCTTTGGTATCATCTCCTTGCCTGGCCTGCGGATTGATGTGAGACCTAATTCTGAACTATGTACTAGCTACACATTACTCAATAAAGCAATGCCTTCATTTTTAACGTCACATTTCCACACCTTATTAGTTTCCACAGACATTTTCAGACTTGATCCTCATATTATGTACGTAGCACCTTATGCCAGTTTTACAAATGAGGAAACAAGGTTAAGAGTCAGCTACTGAGCGGCGGAAAGGAGACAAAATCAAAACCTCCTGACTTCCGTTCAAATCTGTTAAGCCCCCACTTTTGTCAAAGTCATAATTTTGTGTTTTTATGCGAGACTGGCCTTTATTTCCTCCTCCACTGGACTGTAAACCCCACGAAAACAAGGACTGTTCTTCCTCACCACTATATCCCCAGTACCCAGCAAGGTGTTCTGCCATAAGCAATATTTGTTAAATGAATGAATGAAATTTATCATTTCCTCTACTGTTTTTAGTCGATACTAATAATAAACGTAACTTATTTTTAGTAACTAATGTAAAGGCACTACACCATAAAAACTTTTTTAAGCTGAAGCTTAAATTTACTTCCAATATAATTCAAAGAAGAGCGAAAAAAGGGCTGGGAGCCAAGGCCAGAGTTCTTGCGCCGGCCCTGCCGTGAACTTGTTCGGAGTTCTCGTGTAAATTACTTCACTTCTCCCGACAAATTAACTTTCTCTGTCAAAAAGAAAGAGTAGGACTATAATCTCCACGATTCCGTTCAGAACTAAAAAAAAAAAAAAATTTTTTTTTTTTTTTTTTTGAAATTAACTTTTGCTGTTTGCTTATACTCTCCCTCCTGTGCCCTTCCGCAACCGCCAACTTGGTGAGAGAGGTAACATTAGGTTCCAAGTGGGACTCTCTCTCTCTCTGCGTCCCGGGACGCCGGCCACACACCCAGCCGCAAACCGGTGTCCACTGGCCAGAGCCGCCATCTTCCCCCTCCCCCCGCCTTGGCCGGACCCCAACCGCCACCCACGGGTACGGGGTAACGCGGAACCTCACCTCTCCTCACAGTCTTTGCATTTCACCTGCAGCGGGACTAGCTCCTGGAACAGAACCTGGCTCATGTTGGTCCGCTGCCCCTGCCAGTAAGCGGAAAAGTCCAGCAGGCCCAGCCCACGGAACTAGCCTAAAGGAATCCGGGTCCTGCTAAAATTTGAGTTTGGCGCTCGGCTTCCGCTGAGGAGGCGGGGAAACAGAAACAGAGGGAAGGCGGGGGAGATTTGAACCTCCTCAGCCACCATCAGTTTCTTCCGGTTTTGCAGAGGATGGGGAGGCAGTTCCGGGCATTAACCTGCGTGGCTGGACGCGCGGCAGCCATATTTGTTAAGGGAAGGGGACCCGAGGGAAGCAGAGAACTTTTCTCTTCACCAGATGCTTGCCACCCTAAACGAACCCTGAATTATGGCGGCTTCTGCGCCGGCCCCGCACACGACTGACTTTCCGGCTGAGGGTCGGTGCAGTTACTATGTGGAAAAGAAGAGGCGGTTCTGCAGGATGGTGGTGGCGGCAGGGAAAAGATTCTGTGGGGAACACGCTGGAGCCGCGGAGGTCTGGTATTGCCCTACCCTGTGGAGAGTTGGAAATAAGTTTCTTGGTCCGGCAACTCCCCTCTGACAGATTTCTGCTTCTGTTCCCTGGATTTTCCAGCTTTTCCTGTACTAAGGGCAGCCCTGCCCTCCCTAGGGAGCGATGATGAGCCGTAGCGAAGTGCAATGTTTCTCGCACTAAATAGAGCGCCAGCAGTGACCCGTTTTTTTTTTTGATACTAACTCCTGGTAATGGTAGATCTTAGTTTTACTCCAACTACGGCCTCATACTCCGCCCAGTCTCCGCCTTCCTGATGAGAAAAGGTAGTTTAGAAAGAACAGTGATCAAAGATCCCAAGGTTTCACTAATTGTGTTCTGATTGTTTTGTGAATAATAAGAAACTTTTTAAAAATTTTATTTAGGGGCGCCTGGGTGGCTCAGTCGTTGGGCGTCTGCCTTCAGCTCAGGTCATGATCCCAGGGTCCTGGGATTGAGCCCCGCATCGGGCTCCCTGCTCCGTGGGAAAGCCTGCTTCTCCCTCTCCCCCTGCTTGTGTTCCCTCTCTCGCTGTGTCTCTCTCTGTCAAATAAATAAAATCTTCAAAAAAAAAAAATTTATTTAGACGTGCAACTCTAAGTGTAGAGAACCAACATGGTTACCAGAGGAGAAAGGGAGGGAATGGGTGAAATAGGTGTTCGGGATTAAGGAGGTGCACGTGTGATGAGCACGGAGTGATTAAAAACTTAAAAAAATTTAGACTACAGTCTTTTAAAAGCAACTTGTAACAGCTGAAAGGAGGAAGGAAAGATTTAAAATCATGTAAGAATTTACTTTCCTTTTAAAATTGAAAACACGGGGCGCCTGGGTGGCTCAGTCTTTAAGCGTCTGCCTTTGGCTCAGGTCATGATCCCAGGGTCCTGGGATCGAGCCCCGAATCGGGCTCCCTGGTCCGCGGGAAGCCTGCTTCTCCCTCTCACTCCCCCTGCTTGTGTTGCCTCTCTCGCTGTGCCTTTCTCTGTCAAATAAAATCTTTAAAAAATAAAAAAATAAAATAAAATTGAAAACAGGAGGCGTACAATTTTGTTTGAGAATACTGTGTGATAATACGTATAATTGTACTGTCAATATAGAGTTGACCCTTGGGACGCCTGGGTAGCTCAGTGGGTTAAGCGTCTGGCTTGGGCGCCAGTCATGGGATTGAGCCCCACGTTGGGCTCTCTGCTCATTACGGAGCCTGCTTCTCTCTCTCCCTCTGCCTCTCTCCCAGCTTGTGTGCGCGCGCGCGCTCTCTTTCGCTCTCAAATAAGTAAAACTAAAGATTTATTTGAGAGAGAGCATGAAAGGGGGGAGGGTCAGAGGGAGAAGCAGACTCCCTGCTGAGCAGGGAGCCCGATGCGGGACTCGATCCCTGGACTCCAGGATCATGACCTGAGCCCAAGACAGTCGCCTAACCAACTGAGCCACCCAGGCGCCCTAAGTAAATTTTTAATAATAAAAATACATATATATACAGTTGACGCTTGACCACTTGTTTACATGGATTTCATAAACACAGCACAGTACTATGAATGTTTTTTCCTTATTAAGACTTTCTTAATAACACTTTAGCTTTATTGTAAGAATATAGTGTATAATACATACAACAAAAAATATACATTAATCAGCTGTTTATGTTAGCAATAAGGCTTCAGGTCAACGGTAGACTATTAAGTCAAAAAGTTTTTATTTTTTATTTATTTAAAAAAAATTTTTTTTATTTGAGAAAGAGAGAGCAGGAGCGGTGGGGGGGGGAGGGAGAAGCAGGCTCCCCGCTGAGCAGGGAACCCGCCTGGGGGCTCCTCCCAGGACCCTGGGGTCATGACTTGAGCCGAAGGCAGACACTTAACCACTGAGCCAACCCAAGTGCCCCGTCAAAAAGTTTTTAAATCTCGGGGCGCCTGGGTGGCTCAGTCGTTAAGCGTCTGCCTTCGGCTCAGGTCATGGTCCCAGGGTCCTGGGATCGAACCCTGCATCGGGCTCCCTGCTCGGTGGGAAGCCTGCTTCTCCCTCTCCCACTCCCCCTGCTTGTGTCTCCCAGCTCTCACTGTGTCTCTCCCTCAAATAAATAAATTAAAATTTAAAAAAAGTTTTTAAATTTCATTTTTTGTGAAGTCAAAAGTTATTTGCCGAGGAGGGTGTGGCTGTCCCCACCCTTCAAGAGTCAACTGTATATTTTTGTGTATGTGTATTTCTTTGGGATATATATGATAGAAAAATAAAACTAAAAACAAGAGGAACAGAATGCTTGTATAAGAGGAACCTATTTAGTCAGTTTTAGAAACCAAATAGGCAAGCACCTGGTTTCATGCCTTCTCGATGTCCAATATTATTTACATTATTTCTGTTAGTCAGATGGTTTATCCCGGGCCCTATCCAGTACAGATCAGCCCCGAGAGCTCCTTCATCTGCTACTGCCCATCATAGCCATAACTACTTCATATTTTGATAAACTGATAACTTGCCTGGAGTGAAGTATACAGAAACAAATATATACTTGTTTTGGAATGTGGGAGACCTGTGTCTTATGGTGAGAACTCTCTGAAGTATACCTACAGTTGTATTGAGTGGTTTTGAGGGGACCAGCAAACATTTCTTGATTAAAAAATGAGATTTATAAAATAATAAAATTTTTAAAAGTGAGATTTATGGTAGGAGAAAGTTTTGTTCTCACTCTAAGACCTTATACTTGACCTTAACGAAATATCTTAAAGATGAATGCAGTTGGTGACAGTAGTAGAATATGCCTAGTTCCTTACAAGCTGATTGGTATTCCTGGAAAGGAAGGAATGTTGTTACTGGTCCTTTGAAGAAAGATTGCAGGACATCAAGGGAAACACTTTACATGGCACGATTTGGTTTTCAACTGTGGGCATCCTACTGAATCTGTTATTTATGATCTAATTGGGTAGTATGCTTTCATCTTTTTGTCTTAAGTATCATACATAGCTGAGACCACTTGTACACATTTTTACCCACTGGTTCTTAACTGAGGGTGACTTTGCCCCCCCAAGAGACACGAAAATATTATTTTAAAATAATATTATAAAATAATAGTGCAAATTATAGTCGATGCTATCATAGATTAGAAATTCCATATGTAGGCCTTCTCTATAATCTATTTGAAGCTATAAACCCTTGTTGTCCAAAGCATTTTTGCTCATATATACAAAAACTAGCTACTTTGGAGATTTTTGTTGTTAAACTCTATGACTTTATTGTACCAATGTATTACTAATGTCCTTTTAAGGTTTCCTTACTTTGTTTTGGGAATGCATAAACTTATGATTACACTGAAGTTGTATCTAGTATCTGTAAGCAATGAACTTGATATTTTTCATCCAAGTCATTATATCATCTTTCTTTATTAGGAAGAAAATGCTCGGAAAAGAATTCTGTGTCCTTTAGATCCAAAACAGTAAGTATGGGTCAGTTAAGGGTTTTTCTATGCTAGAAAGAATAATTGTCACACGTCTTATTTTAAATAATTTTCTCTTTAAATTTAGCACAGTATATGAAGATCAATTGGCAAAGCATTTGAAAAAATGTAACTCAAGAGAGAAGCCAAAACCTGTAAGTGTTTGATCAGTAAAATTGAAAGGTGAAATGTGTGGTATGTAATGCTTATATATACTTAGTTGATTACAGATGTGAATACTTAACAAGACCCTAGCCTCAGAAGGCTTGAATGTGGTAAATGCATTTGAGTATATATAGGACATCAGACCGTGAATCCACTTATAATCCTAATTCAGAGAATAGAATTTTATGCAACAAGTATATTGTTTAGAGAGTAATTTCACAATTTATTCAAAATATTTACTGAGTGCTTACTAAATTTATTTCAATAAAATATGGTCCCAGCCTTCAAGGAGTTTATTTGAGACTGATAAGTTAACTTGTAAATAATGGATCTTAATAAGTTCAATGAAAGAAGTAAGTACACATGTCATAAGAGCATGTACTTTTATAAAAATTAAAATTATATCCAAGGGGTCAAGAAAAGCTTCCCAGAGGGAATAACACTTGAACTGAGTCTTGATTTGGCAAAGAAAAGGAAGAAGAGTCCTTGTAGGTGAGAAGAACTATATTCACAAAGGCAGAAACTGGGAAACCACACTGAGTCTTTCAAAGAACTCAGATTTTATTCTGAAAGATACGGGGAACCACTGAAAGATTTTAAGCTAAAGAATGGTGTGGTCAGATTTTCCTCTTAAAAGACTTTCTTTCAGAGCAGTGTGGGAAGATGGCGTGGAATTAGAAGGACTAGTTAGGGGCTGTTGCTGAAATCCAGGTGGGACATGATAAGAGACTAAATGAAAGAGAATGGAAAGGTTAGGGAATAAATACAAGAATTATTTAGGTAGCAGAATCGAAACGTGGTGACTAAAAGCTGAGAGTTGGATATGTGAGTCTGAAAGTCAGTAGAGTGGTTAGTTTGGAAGTCAAAGGTAAAGCCTTGGATTTTTAAGTTACCCAGGGTAAGAGATTGGAAGGGTGGGGGAGGAGCTTGTTTATTCAATAAATACTGAGCACTTGTGCCAACATCGTACCAAGCACCCTGCCTATAAGAACATTACAGTCTGGGAGAGATAAAAAATACAGT